TAGCTGAAATTTAATCTAAATGAAAACAGACCAAAGTCTAGTAATGACGGTAACAATTTACATAGTAGTAGTAATAATAGCAATATCTGCTATCTTTGAAAACTGACATAACGAACGTTTCTGACAAACGAGTGTTGTCGTGACAGTTTTAAAGTAGCCACAAGTACAAACATTTTGCAGTTTTAAAGGCGCACTGGAAAAGCTGTAGTAGTGTGTCCATAAAATTTGGGATCTGTGAGTTACTTCAAATAATTCTTAAACTGGGTATGAGAAAAGCCGGGAAAGTAAGGAGAGAGGAGGAGAATGAGAAGAGGGAGAGAGGCACCCCTGCAGTCTTTGCTATTTGATGGCTTCAATATCACGAACTAGCTTTTACACAAACCACAAGAAAAATAAACTCATTTCTCACTCGATATTCAATCTCGTTGTCTATTATTAGTATCAGATGATATAACAAGCTCTCTTCACAACTCACTAGCGTGGTTCATGCTTCAGTATGCATTCGCTTCAGTGTGGTCCACGTAGTAATCAGCAGCAGCTCAAAGCAGACAGGTTGTCGGTGGTTTCCGTTCTCGAGAATTCTTTAAGAAACGAGTTGAAGCTATGCGCAGCAAAAATAAGCAGAGTGGCGATATGCAAGCGGCCAGCCATGTAAGCTCGCTCAGATAGCACAGGGTAAGCGACATGTGGTTGGTTTATACCTTTTAGTCATGATATCAGAGCACTGCGGGTGGTAGGGAAATAACACCACAGCGAGAATGACCATAAATTAATTGAACGAATGAACGAATTCGCCGCCCGATTCTATTCGATCAGCACTATTACTCAACTGCCCCCCAAAGAGCACAGGAAAACACCAAACGGAAACGTGGCTTTTGCAAGCAGTTACACAGATTACGTCTTATTATTTTTGAGATAATGGAGGCCAGCACTGGTGGTATCTCTCAAGGTGTCTTGAATCAGTATGTAATTGCAACGTTAATGCAAGAAATTCTCAGCGGTTTGGATTATATTCATCGTAGCGGACAAATGCATCGTGACATCAAGGTAGCCTGAAAATCTGTCACAATTTAATCCTTTCTGTCATGGACGTTCGGCGTTTTTCAGTATTTGTAAGTTCTGGAATTTAAAAATAAATTATTTTCGAAGCAATGGAGGCCAGTGTTGGCATTGGTGGTATCACTAAAACTAAGCAAATTCTTGAAGTGCATCAAACGAAGCACTGAAAATTTCAGGCCGCAAATATACTAGTATCATCGGAAGCAGAAGTTCAACTTGCTGACTTCAGGACGTCTATCTGGCTGCCCGGAGCACTGGTGGGACCTTTTTCAGCATCACTGAAAGCAGAAATTTCAGCTTGCAAATTTTGTCGTGGAGACGTAACAGTTAACTGAAAAAAATTCACTTGCCTTGGGCTACTCGCTGCATCTGTTCCCTCTCGTTGATCACAACTTGGTGGTAGGCTTTGGGCATCAGCAACCAAGCAGGCTACTGCAGCAAATTTCGCATTTTGAATTGTTAGGCTTTCTATCTATTTCGGATGCTTCCTGACTGCTGTACGATGTCGAGAATATTCCAGGAAACGACTGAGACCCCGTTTGGAACACCGTGCTATATGGCACCGGAAATAGTCGATCTGAAAGCGACGCGCACAAAAGGGTACAGCTGCAAAATTGACATTTGGAGTCTCGGTATAACAGCATTAGAAATGGCTGTTGGCTATCCACCATATCACAACAAATCCGTCGATTGGGTACAGTCTTCACAATTTCTGCCAGCTGTCAAACACAACTGCACATCGTATGTCCGCAACAACCGGCAGTGCCTTTCGTGACAGCCAAGCCGACTCTTGCCAACAGACCGAACCATCTCGAACCCTCTTTTGCCAAGCGAGAAATCCTTACGCCACAGATCACATTCCCCCTCTCCCCTTGCTCATTGCCAAGACGCGCATTTATCGACATGTTTGGCTTCGAAAATGTTTTAGCAGAATGTTCAAATTTTGATTTCGTTCTTGAGAGTCTGATCTGCGTGAAGAGCATGAAGTCTTCATTGCTGGAAAGATGTAGCCAGGTGCTCACTGAAGCCATCTCTGTTCTGCTCATTACGGGCTGCATGCTGCAACAACATGAAACTCATTACTGTCTGGCACTAGCTGCTTCTTTCCAAGTGAACTGGAAGTGCCTCAAGATCGTTGTCACTAGGACGAGGATCAAGCGGCAAATCGGCAGTACAAGCCCACGGCTATGAATTTATAACGACTAGCGTTAATTGCCACTACTAGTGTTACCATCGGCAGATTTTTTCATGAATCATGTTCAGATACTTCGCCGTATTCGAACAGCTGATCCGCCAACTCTAGAAACCAATAAAACTGGCAATTATGATGCATACGGGAAGAAATTCCGCCACTTCGTCTCCTCGTGCTTAAAAGTAAGCTAATGCACATAGGCTTCGTTCTCCCATCAGCTTCGCGCTCAGTCTCCGTCCTGTCAACCGAAGCAAAGTGCAGGATGGCAAGGGCAAAATGGGGACTGCCGATCGGTTCTGGCGTTTTGCAGGCCATTTTGTATAACCAGAAAGAGGAAAAAGTGAATGGAACTAGTTCTGCTGCTATCTCTTAGGTAGTGCTCGCAGACTGCTTTGGATCTTAACTAGCGAGAGGAAGTGAAGCTAGAAAAAAGATGGGAGAGAGGAGAGGAGGGGAGAAATGAGGCTGTGAATTGAACTCGTGAGCAATATCAATCCCTGTACCTTGCCTGCTATGACCCCGCATTCAGAATCAGCTAGGTAACGTCCTCTTTGTCACGATCGTTGGTACTTGCCCCTTGGAAACATGCGGAAAGAAGCCCTGAAGGTGATAACTCTGCAGTCAAATTTTCGTTGCAGCCCCACAGTGCTACTGAGGGGAAGAACCTGTTCGTACAAGCAGCAGTCGCCGCACTCAGTTGTTGCATTCATGCAAACAGTAGCAGTCGCAGAATCCAGTAGTTGTCATTGCAGAAGGTGCCTGAAAAACGATGGAAAGCTGCGAAACTGCTGAAACATCCATTTATTCGTAAGAGTTCTAGAGGCCGACAA